ACTTTGCTAGAAAATTTAGTTGCTCCACCTAAACTGCATCTTCTCATTGGAGCAGTAGATAAAATAGCAGGGTTTCTTTTAACTGAGTGGGATGGTTTTGAGTTGTGGTTGAAAAAACACTATATAATTAAAAGAGGATATCATGGAGTTGGTTGGGATGGTAATAATGCTAATAAAATTTTAAAATTGATTGATTCACTTCAACTTGAAGTGCAACTTAAAGTTATCTACTTCCTTCCAAAGCTTAAGAACTTTTAAATCTGTAAATGAAGCTTGTTTTGGAAGAAATCTTGATCCTGACTCAGAACACAAAATATCTTTGTTTAAAGATGCTTTTTTATGCCTACAAGAGACAGCTTCTTCAGTCGGAAAGACACTAACAGTGTCATGGAAAATCCATATTATATGCTGCCATGTTTTTCCTTTTGTAAAGAATGCAGGATGCGGCTTGTCAAAGTATGCAGAACAGTGTGGTGAGGCGATTCATGCAAAGTTTAAGCCTACGTGACAAACATATAAATGTAATGTAGGTCATAAAGATTATGGAGATAGATTAAAAACTGCTGTTGTTGATTTTGGAATTAAAAGATTATAATATTATATAGTTTTAGAAATTATGCTTTGTAAAAAATTCAAATTTTATTATATTGTAAAATAAAGCTGCCTTAGAAAAAGTTGTGGGATTGGAGCAAAGGGACAAATATAACCCACAATTTTAGACACCCTATGCCCACTTGTGTTAAATAGGTTTTCAAGAAAAACTTTTTTATTGACGTAAACTAAATCAAAATTAACCAATAGATTTCAAATTTCATCAAAAAATACTTTGGCATTCAAGAGTTAAGGCCATGTAAAATTAATAACCCCCTCATTTTTCTGTTGGGGGAGGGGGTTCAGAGTTTTAAGATTTTTTCACTCTTAGCAAGTGAAACTAATTTTAAATATGATTAAATCATGTTAGTATAATGAAAACAAAACTTAATTCCCAAAGTGACACACCATCAAACCTAATATGCCTTCTGGTCCACGGTGTTGTGTGGTTAAATAAGCGTGATTATGGTTAGTTAAAGGAATTATTTATTAGTAGCAATTTAGGCTGCTGGCTTTGGATGATTACAAACCCTGCATGTTGTTTGTCACTAACTCAACTACAAAATTTTGCATTTCCTCTTTTTTTTTTTTTTTTTTTGTCTAAAACTTTTAATTGATTTTTTAACAACTATTGACTTATATTTTACATGTCAGTAGCATACTAGATGCAACTGTTGAAAAAAGTGAAAAAAATATAAAAATTTTGATCTGCAAGTATATGGATTTCCGTATATGGATAACGGGGCATGTTCCCACTTTTTTGTAGCAGAATATTGCAATTGATTTTTCACTAACTTTTTGATAAGCTGGAGCTCTGAAAATTTTGGCATTTCTGTAGTGCCAATTAATTTGAATGTTAAAATTGTTTTTAGGGCCTTAAGACATTAGAGGGGGGGTGGAGACTAGGGCAAGTGCCCCACATCTTTGTAATAGAATCTCGCGATTAATTTTTCACTACTTTCCAGACAAACTGGAGCTCTTAAACTTTTAGCATTTGTGTATTCTTGATGAATGTGTATTAAAATTGTATTCAGGGGAGACAACCATGGCCCCCACACAGAGGCTCCTTGGTCAAGGCACAGGGGCCATGTATTTTCTTGAAAAAAATTTTTTTTTTTTTTCGAATTTACAATAATACGATAACTTAGAAAATATTGTCTTCAAAAATTATTTTGGTTTGTACTTGTTCCGCTTTATTTAATCCTTTACAAAGTAAAATACAAAAATATAAAAATTCGAGATGGTGTTAAGATTTGCTTAGATGTGTCAAGGGTCAAAATATACACATCCAGTTGTTATTACAGGTGCATCAATGATAAAATTTATGTTGATAATTGAAACCCAACATTCATCTGCTCAAAGGACCATGCAGGTGCATAAATTTTACCATAACATCTTGCTTAATATTGTCAATTTCATTTATCATACCAATCCAATTAAACGTATCATATTTACACATAATAAATTTACCAAATTTTAATGTATTGATGTTAGTTAGCTGATTAAGTTGAATACTTTGAATACCAAAAAAAGAAAAACAAATTTCAATTCATTAATGTTAATTTTCAATGTGTTGATGTTAGTTTGCTGATTAGTTTAAATACATGCCTGTTATATTAAAATCTTCACTTGTTCGTTTAAAGCTAAAAGTATTTATAGATTCTGGGTTAAATTGATGATAGCTCCTAGTTCCAGGAATTGTTCTACTTAGCTGAAAATGTTTTTTTAAAGTGGTGCGTAATTCTGTTAGTCTTTTATCAATCTTGAAAAAAATAATCCTTTCAATTTAATATCTGGTCATTTATGGGCCTTTGTAGAAATGCATTTGCAGTTAATTGTTTTACAGTGCCACCAATACCATCACATAGTGACTTACCATGACTTGTAGCAAAAAATGTCTACTCTGCATCAATCTCAAAATCATCTATATAGAAACAGATATTGTAAATGTTTTTGTGGCTTTTATACAGCACAGCTATCTAAAAAATGAAGAACCTTTGAAATATTAGGATGATTTTCTTTCAATTAATTATTTGTCTGAACTTCAAAATAAATAAATGTCATGCTCATTATCTTCAGACATAAAGAAAAATGATTTTTTTTTAAGCTGGTCATTTTTGTTTAATAAATAGTGGGCAACAGGGTGTAACCGTGGGGTGTAACTTGCATTAACTTTAGCACCAATTCTAACTTTAAATTTCATCTTGAATAATAAATGTGTAATTTTCTACAAAATCACCTAAGATAATACAGTCTTTTACCAACTTTTCTTTTTGATGCCTTAGGTATCTTTCTTGAAATTTTGCAATGTAAGAATGAGCTGTTGATCTGTTTATTGCCTCTGATAACATCAATTTGTATTCTTCATTTGTTATTTTTTGACAGATCAATGTTGCTGTGCCTGTTTTCTTTTCAATTTAAAAAGTTTTGAATTATACAGGGTAAAACTATGTTAAAATCATTATTATAGATGAATGTTTTTAATCCAAAACTTGCAAATCAAAAATCTTATAGGCATGTGTACTTTCTTAAAACATTTTAAGAAAGATCATTGAATACAGAATGCTCAAAAACCAAAAGCAACAAATATAAAACAAAAATTGATGTTGCATTTTGAAGCACGCTTTTTCTCAATTCGAAATTAGTTTTAAAATTACATTTTCTTTTATTTCCAAATGCTATTGTATCATTTTTTAAACCTTATAATTACATTTTGAATCACGTGAATGGGCAGTTGAATCATTAATAAAATTAATTAAGAAACAAACTTTTTTAATATTTAAAACAAATTTAGGTTTTTAATTGAAGCAATTAAAAAAATTAAAAATGTTACACATATTTGTGTAACACTATTAGCTAATAAAGCAGCCAATAGTGTTACACAAAGAAAAACTTGTGCTAAATTAGCAGCAGAAACTTTAGTACGTGGAACATAAGTCATAAAAAACTTTTTTTCATGCGGTAGCTGTGTTAAGATTGAATATAGCTAAGATTATAACTCCTGATGCTATTAATTCTAACTAAAAAATGTTGCAGATTCCTCTATTGTTTATGTGTAAATTCATAATTTTCGTAGAAGTTAGATGAGTTAACTGTATCTACTAATTTTTTTTTAAACAATTAGCTGTTAACTAAATCTTTGCCTATTGCTGATAAACTGCGTTTATAAATGACTTTCTTTTTATGATTAATTTAAATAACTGAAAATGTAATTAAGAGTGTACATGAAATAAATGTGAAAGTAAAAAGAAAAACATTTTTATTTATAACTAAGCATTAATTTTGATACATTAATATAAGAAGATAAAATACTTCAAAGAAATTAAAAACCCATAGTAGAAAAAAAAGAGCAATCCGCAAAAAATAACTTTAAATTTATCAATAAACAGTTCATTCTTTTATTATAATTTGCGGCAAAACGAGGAAATGAAAAGCTTAAAAAAAACCAACGAAAAACAGTTTAAAAAAAAACAACGAAAAAAAGTGACTAAGCACCATTTTAAAAAAATGTTCTTAGTTAAGTGCAGCAATTATTATATATCATTATTAAAATAATAAAACTAATATTTTTATTAAAATAACAATTAAGTAAGAACTTTAATCATTTATAAAAAAAAGATTTATACTATTAAAAGTAGTTTAAAATAAGTGAGGCAAAAAATTAACAGATAAGTTCAAAAATAATATTCGTCAATGAAGCAAACTAAAGTAGCATATCGTAAACAATAAAAACTATTTTAAAGGTTTTTTCAAAATTAAAATGATTTTATAAAATTTTAGTATATACATTTTTCAAATAATTGATTATTTGTCAGTAAATCCTGATTATTTGTCAAACCTTGTTTTTCAAAACTCTGATTTTTCTTTCAACAACTACGACCAACAGAAATTGATTGATGACCAGCCATTATTTTCCAAATTGAAAATTTATATGTAAATCTCTGTCTTTTCAGTTTTTACACCTACTATCTCTAAGAGTCTTTGAACCCTTAAATTAAACACTTATAATTGGTAAAATTGTTCTTTTATATATATTCATAACCAGGACATATTCTTAAACCAATTGAATAACTTTATGTAGACTCTTATGCGTAGTCCAACATTTAAAGTGCAAACATGACATAGCATAGTGTAAACATCTAAAACATCCTCCACGTTCTTTATAGTTTTACCTTTTTAAAATAAAATATGTTTTAAGGTTTAACAACTTAATTTTCTTTTTAATGTCTAAACTTCCTCAAGAACTCCACCTCAACACCTCCTCGAAACCTCCACCTCAACACCTCCTCAAGGCCAAGATTGGAAACTTTTAAACAGCTTAGTTACATGACAATGTTTAAAACTTATGTATTAAAAACTTTAATCTAAACAAAATATTTCTTTATGCATTGAAAAAAATATATATTTACCATTCCTTCTTCACTCATCTGTATGTTTTCCAAGTCATCTGCAGATGTGTAAAAACCTTCAAGAGTATTAGCAGTTGAATAGTAAGTCTCATTAGCTAAAATAAATTGTACTACATTCAAAATAATTTTTAATAGTATTACTTTTTATTGCATAATCAAGAGTTGTAGTATGTCAATTAACTTAAATGATAGTCAACCATCATGTGAATTATATTGTGATGGAGGTGATATATAGACTAACTATATGAAAATACTGAGTTATAAATTTAAAAGAATTAAATTATAAAGAAAATATACAATAGGCACATGAGATATATGATAGTGAATATATATATATATATATATATATATATATATATATATATATATATATATATATATATATATATATATATATATATATATATATATGTATATATATATATGTGTATATATATATATGTGTATATATATATATATATATATATATATATATATATATATATATAGGGCTTATTCCAGAAAAAAAATTTAGGCGACGCAACCCCCCCCCCTCCTTGTTCTGGTGAAATTCAGTGGAAAATCTGCGTTTTTTTGCGTAAAAAAACAATTTGTGATGTAAAAAATGTAAAAAAAAAAAAAAAAAAAAAAAGTTCCTCAAATTTTAATTTGGGCGCCCAAATTGGCGCCTAAATATGGTTGATGCTCGAAAATGGTCTAGAATACCCCCTGATATACATATATATGACTAAAAAATATTTATATATATATATATACATAAATATATATGTATCACGGCTGTTTCACTCAATATAAAAGCGAGCCTGACGTCACGAGTTTATCAAAAAAAAAAGTATTTCCGCATAAAAAGTATAAAAATTCATTAACTTTAAAATAATAGTATTTTTTTTCTATAAATGCTTTCATCTTCAAATAAAAAAAAATATAAAAGATCTATCTTTCCTTAAATAAATGTTAAATAAACATTTACATTTCTCTTGGATATTTGACTAATTTCAGATAAGTTGATTAATCCGATTTTATCTAGTGCATCTATTTGTCAATATTATTCTATTTAAGTTGTTTGTATTATAATTTTATTACTATATCAATAAAGATTATAAAGCAAAGTTTCGTGGATTAATTCCTCGTGGATATTCGACTTATCTCAGATAAGTTGCTTAATTCTTTTATTTTTAGTGTATTTATTTGTAAATATTATATTATTTAATTTCTTTTATTATATTATTATTATAATATCATTATCATTATTTATGTGATGTATGCAAATGAGAGGGAAATTTTGAAACTGTACATCGGTTGGGAAGATGGTTGGGAAAATGAGTATAACTTTAATTTTGTAAAGCGAGTAATTGACACTAGTAAGATCACTAACAATGTGATTTCAATTTTATTAACAGTTTTTCATCCAAAAGCGCTGTTTACTTTTTTAAGTTTTCTTTTGCCAATTGAGTTTAATATGCCTAATATTGATGTGTTAAATAAAATGTGCCGAAAAAAAAAACAAAGAAAAAAAGATTCTAAAAAGTATTTTGAAGCTTCAAAAAACGAAGCATTTTTTAAAATGCAACTGTCTCCAGCTCCACAAACAAAAAAACAAAAAAAATCAGCAGATGCAGATAATTTTTATATTTTAAATAGGAATAAGGAACTAAGTAGTCAAGTTGAACAATTAATTTCTAAAGAAAAAAATAATGTGGAGCAAATAGATAATTTAAAAATACAGGTATCAAAGTTGGAAACTGAAGTTATATATTTAAATTCTAAAAACAAGGCTCTCAACGCACATTGTAACTCATTAAGTTCTCAATTAGAGACTATGAGTATTAGGCTAAAACAGGAGGAGCAGTACCAACTTTAAAAAAAAAAAAACTAAAAACAGCACACCGTAAATTTGCATCTGCTCGTGCCAAAAATGTAAGATTGCTAAAAAAATTTAAATTTGAAAAAAAAAATGCAAAAATCAGTGATATAAACAAGAACAGTTGCAAAATTTGCAAATATTTTGCTAGCAGTGATAAGGATTTAGTTGTCGTTGATTCTTATTTAGACTATGACAACATTGGTTCCTCTGAATTATTCTGTGGGTTTAAATTAAGTAATCCACAGACTATATCAGTTAAAAAGCCAATAGTTGGTAAAAAATATAACTAAATAACTATATAATAATAACTTTATAATAACTAATAACTTTAGATAATGTAGTGCCACCTGTTTTGCATATTATGTTAGGAGTTGTGTTAAAACTTTATAAGTTATTGTTGAAGGAGTGTAAGACTTTGGATTGTCAAGCTGTTTCGTCTTTGTCGCATAATGAGAATGTGAGAACGAATGAATTGTGGGCTGCTAAAAGCTTTGAATGTTCTAAAACAGCAGACTCTTTACGTTTATTAGGAAATCAACTTGTAGACGTTGCAAATCTACAGACTCGTTGGTTAGCTTTTGATAAAAATATTTCTGAATTGGAATGCATATCTCTAAACTCCTCCAATAAAAAAAACAACCTGTAAACAGCAAGAAAAGTGTGCTAGTATCAGGTGTTTAATTACTAAATATGATTGTAACATTGATTGGGTGCAGTGTGGTACGTGCCAAAAATTGTTCCATCAATTTTGTGAAATTATTGGTGGTTCGGAAAAGAATGTATTGTGTGATATAGAGAAGTATGAGTGTTTAGCATGTCAGGGTGAAGATTTAGAATGTCTTGACCTTTATATTTCTAAAAAAATTTCTTTTATACGCGCACAGCGCGAAGTTTTAGACGTTGAGTATATTCCATTGCAGATAGAGTGTGAAGACCTAGAAAAAATATCTATAAGTAGCATGGGGACTCATGAGAGGTCTCTTTATAAGGCCCTTGAAGATATGAAAGTTGAGCAACAAGCTTACCATGGTAATGTATTTGTAGGTAATCATTGTAAAATAGTATTAAGAAACCACTATAAACTTTGTAGTGTTATTGATGATGAAGCAATTAAAAATAGATTTGTACGCGTGTTTAGTGTTTTTAATAACTTGCAACCTATTCTTTTTAAGCGAAAATTTCTTTCTGATGCCAAAATTTCTAAGCTTCATCAATATATAAATTTATTTGCTATTGAGTTTCATGCTTGCTTTCCAAAAGAAAGTATCACGCGAAAAATGCATGAACTCATTTTCAATGTGCCACTATTTGTAAAATTGCATAAAACTATTGGGTTGCTGAGTGAAGAGGAGGGAGAGTGTTTGCATAATAGCGTAAATAAGGAATTAAGGCAGTTGCATTCAGTTAGAAATCAGGAGCAAAAGCTGCATCTTGTTTTAAAACGCTTTGAATTGCACAGCAAAGCTGATAGGAAGCTTCAAGCCTCTATGGTGAGAAAGTGTGTTGTGTGTTCAGAGCGTGGCGAAAATTCATTTTATAGACAAGGTCTTTGTCTTGTTTGTGGTCATCAAATTTAGTTTAAATGTTTGAAAAGTTAAAAAAAAAAATAAACTTTTTACATCTAAGATAAATTATATAAGATCCTTAATTTACAAATAAGAGAATTCTATTCTATTTTAATGCCTGTAATGTTTGTTCAAAATAATAATAATTTTTTATTACAATGATTTTATATATTAGGTAGATGCCCATTCTGTTCCTATTTTCAAAAGTTTATTATATCTATGCAATGCCTTTGCTCAGGTTAAAGAATGGAATAAAAGTCTAGCATCAAATGTATAGCTAACTATTTTAATTTGTGATCAGAGCAACTGGTATGTTTGTTGGATATGATTTTGTATGTTTATGTAGTTAATTCAAAAAACGTTTTATCCTTTGTTATGTAATATGTAACATTTTTTATATATATTAGATCTCCGTTCAATTTTTATCATCAAAACTTAGTTCTACCTTCGCAGGACCTCTGCTCTACATACCTCCTCTCTGGTTAAAAAATGGAATATAAGTCTCATTTATCAAGTTGGTGTAAAAATTTAGCTTGATAAATTAAGAAGTTGTAAACTTTATTATCACAATTGCCAAGTTGACCAAATGTTCTTCTGGTTTTAAATGAATTATGTATGAGTCTAGTATCATCTGGGTGTTCAAAGATAGTTTACTGCTTGAAGAACTTATCAATGGACCAACTAATTATAAAACAGTTTTTAATGAAAATAAAAACGAATTATCAAAAGATTTAAATCAGCTATTTGTGTATATTTAAACACTTTATTTTTTGTGAGAAGAGATTATTGATACAAGTACCATAAAATAATTCTACTACCAAAAGCTAGGTTAATTCAAAACCTTTAACTCAATTTTGGTCATGAATTATTTTATTAGAATTGATGAGTTTTTATTTATTAACTACCTAACACCATATTATTAGAACTTTATTTTGTAATGTAATGATTTTATCAGCGTTCCAAAATAATTTTCTAAATCAAGAACTTCTATATTAAAAAAAGTACTCATTTAACAACTAATCCCCCCTTATAACGACATTTTTCATAATTTTGCGAAAAACGTGGTTTGCTTTCACAATTCGATTAAGGCTGTTTTAGTTAACCTTAAATAATTAAGTAAGGTTTTTTTGTTTTCATTATTGTCAAACAATAAGTGTATTTGATAATAACTATTAGGAATATATTTTTCTAATTTTTTTTCTGATAAAAAGTAACATCAAATTACAAAAATTTAGCCAAATTCAATATATGTCATATTTATTCTAAACTAAAAGAAGTTTTTCTACTAATGCATTAAATGTCATAAGGTAAAACATTTTATTGATGTCTTAATTGTTTTTACAAAACAAAATTACCTCTTATATTTCAAAAGTTATAAAAGTTTTAGTAACACCCCTTTAGTCAATATTTTCAAAAATTAACAAGAAGCCGTTAAGCTCAATTTGAAACAGCCGTGGTATACATAGATATATATATATATAAAATTAAAAAAATGTATATATATATACTTTTTTTTTTTTTTTTTTAATTTATTTGCATTCACTCCCAACAAGGCTGCAAGCAACCACTATTAAGTTGGGAGTTACTAGGAAAAAAAAAAGAACAGAGTTATAGAGCAAGGAAACGGTTGACAGAAGACTTGAAAAGTTGAAGGTTGTATGAGTCAGGAAAACATGAAGATGGGAGAGAATTCCAAAGGATTGAAGTGCGGGGAAAAAAACTAGATAAATAAAAGTTTTTAGAGCATGCAGGGACAGATACAGTAAACGAATGAGACTTAGCTGAATGACGAGTAAAACGAGAATGAATTTTAGTTGATGGAACTAGAGATGATAACTCCTTTGAGCAGTGACCATGATAGTATCTGTAGAAAAGAGAAAGAGATGCAACTTTACGACGATGGAAAAGAGGTTCAAGCTTAGCAGATAGTCCAGGTCCAACAACATTTACAATGTGTTTTTGGACCTTGTCAAGAAGAGAAAGTGAATCGTTGGAAGAACCAGCCCAAATATGACAACAGTATTCCATACAGGGTCGAATAAGAGATTTGTAGAGGTAGAGAATGGAATCAGAAGTAAGGAAATGGCGAGCACGATAAAGAGAAGCAACCTTAGCAGAAGCTAATTTAGCATATGCGGTAGTGGTGTAGTGGTAGAGCGCTCGCTTCATAAACGAGTGGTTCCGAGTTCGATCCCCACCACGTCCCTGGTAGTACCGCGCTCAACTCGTTTCTCCGCGCAGCGGCCTTGTTCGTCAAGGTTCGTGTTTCGGAGTTATAGAGTTGAGAGAGGGTTATAGCCACAAAATAAGTAGCCTCCTCGTCTGTAGTGGCCTTCTCGGCCTTGAGGAGGTGAAGTAAAATAAAAAAATTAAAAAAAAAAAAAAAAGCGATAATCCAAGAAGACGTAAAGAGGACGACTCAGTAAGAGGATTACCATTCATTAATATAGGAATGTTGACTATATAACGGTAGTTGTTTGCAGTAAGCAATTGGGTTTTTTTAGAGCTGAAATTCACAAGCCACTGTGAACCCTAATCTATTACTGAAGTGAGATCGGATTCAAGATCAGCTGCTTGTTCTAGGCAATCGAAAAGAGAAGACTTTATGTCAAGACAGGAGTATAAAGTTGAGTCATCAGCAAAAAGAGCTACTTTAGATGAAAGGTTGTCAGGAAGATCGTTTATGTAGATAAGAAACAAAACAGGGCCCAGGATGGAACCTTAAGGAACCCCAGAAGTTACTGGAAATAAAGAAGAGTGTTGGCCTTCAAGGATGACTTTAATAAACCGGTTAGAAAGAAATGATTTGATAATCTCAAAAACTTTTCCAGAAACACCATAGGAAGCAAGCTTATGGAGAAGACCAGCATGCCAAACTTTGTTGAAAGCTTTAGATATGTCGAGAGCAAAAGCCCTAGCCTCACTGCCTCCATCTAATGCACGATAAAATCTTTCAGTTACAGCAGTTAGCAAGTCGGCCGTAGAGCGAGAGGATCGAAAACCGTATTGATCGTCTGACAGCAGTTTATTTGACTCAAGATGAGATGTGAGGAATTTGTTGATCAAAGACTCAAAGACCTTGCTAATAACAGAAAGAAGACTGATCGGACGATAATTGGAGGGGTCAGAATTTTCTCCAGAGTTTTTGAATATTGGAACTACAGATGCCATTTTCCAACAAGCAGGAAAACAAGACTCAGTCAAACACTTGTTAAATAGTTTAGAGAGAATTGAAGAAAGTTCTGGAGAACAATTCTGCAAGACTGTGACAGGAATGTTGTCTGGACCACAAGCTGTAGACGAGTTTAATTGAGATATGACTTTAGCAACAGAAGCCGGAGTGATTTGAATGTCTAACAATGGGTCAACCTGTTTGACTGAAATGGAAGGAAGAGAGTGTCCATAAGATTCAAGAGTGGAATTAGAAGAAAAGTTCTTTGCAAACAGTTCTGCCTTATCCCTGGGAGAGGAAACAAAATCAGTCCCATGAATGAGAGATGGAATGTTAGATCTACCCTTGTTAGCAATGCTGTTGAAGATTTTCCAAAAGTCTTTAGAGCCTAACTTCTGCGATAAGATGCGAGATTTAGTGAACTGAGAATAATGGAGTTTAGCATCAGAAAGCACCTTTTTACATCAATTTCTTGCAATAATAAATAGTTGTTTGTTCTCAAGAGAGTTGTTCTTTTGAAAAAGATAAAAAAAATGATTACGATTGGATATAGCAGCCTGAATCCAGGAGGTAACGTAGGAGGCGCATTTGTCAGCTGAGAGAGAAAAAACATCAGCCCAAGGACCATCACGAAGAAAATCACGAAAGGAATCCCAGTCAGCTTTAGGGTAGTAGTAGGTGGTGCGATGATAAGGTGAGCCCAAAAAAGAAGTACGAGAAGAAAGATTTATAGAGATCATTGCATGGTCAGAACCTCCTAAGGGAGAAAAGGGAGAAACAGAGCATAAGCTAGGGTCAGAGACAAGACATAAGTCAAGGAGTGAAGGTAAATGATTAGGGTTGTCAGGAAAACGAGTCACAAAGTTAACTATCTGAGTAAGAGATTGAGAAACGCAGAAGTTAAAGGCTTTAGTGCCAGCAGGATCAGTGGTGTTAGAGCCAAGCCATTCAGTGTGATGGGCATTAAAATTACCGACAACAACAATATTGGCAGAGGGGTAAAGAGAGAGGGCATGATCAATTTGATCAGAGATAACATCTAAAAGAGTGCAATCGTGGGAAGAAGGAGAACCATAAAGAACAAAGAGAAAGGTGATAGAGTGAAGAGGTGCAAGGCGAAAGCACATAAAAGAATTCGAACCTGATTTCACGACAAATAGGGGAATTAATGCATATGTATACACCTAAACCTAGCATGTGACTATTGGAGTCTTTGCGAATCAAAGGATAGTACCCATCAACACTGACATCTGAAGAAGGAATTGCAGAATTTAAATTTATTTCACTGAGTGCAAGCAAGTCTGGTGAATTTTGCAGGAGGTAAGACTCAACTGATGGAAAGTTGCTTCGTAGACCATGAATATTTGTAAAAGATATATTAAAATATTTAGGTGGTGGGGATGGTTTTTTAGGTTTTAAATTTTTGGTTATTTTGGTCATGATTTGGATTTAATGAGAACTTGACTCATTCATAGATAGAGCACAGCCTCCTAATCAATGAGCTATGCAGTTGTCTCAGTCCTGTTAATTAACCCTAAGCCGTGACATAGGGCTCCTTATGTGGCCTTGTCAATGCACACCAAATGCTTTAACAGGGACACCATCCATGCGCAACATGGCACTGTTACTCTGATACTCTATATTTTGCAGCTGTTCATGGAATCAGCCTCTCTGAGAGCTACCACAGAGTTCAGAAAACCTTACTACCAGCCGGCCTCAGAACCATTAAACTGAGTTTTAGAGCTGTACCCTCATATGGAGATAACAGGAAGAGTTGCATAGCCATTATCAAGGAGGCATAAGCAAAATTCTATGAGTAGAGTCAAGGAGATCCAGCATTCATCATCCTAGGCAGGAAACAGTGTAACACAGGGTACATCTACGCCAGCCTAATAGATGAAGAAGGGGTTCGAGGCTGGTTAGCAGAATTTTTCTGCTTACCCCTAAAGTCTTTGCCTAGGAGGCCTTCTACAAGACAGTAGTAAGATGCAGTTAACATCTGCCCAAGATGAGTATTTTTATCGAGACACCATCTCTAGCCTTTACTCAACCACGAGCCCTAAGGCAGGGGATGTTTAGCTGGATGCAGTTAACATCTGCCCAAGATGAGTGTTTTTATCGAGACTCCATCTCTAGCCTTTACTCAACCAAGAGCCCCAAGGCAGGGGAATTTTTAGTCGGAGTTTATTTCTCCTAGCCTTTGCATAAGAAGAGCACACTCTGCAAGGCAGCAGGGCTTGTGGCAGGTGGTACTGGGTTACGTGATACCAGTAGCAAGATTGATCTCGATTATCCTGACCTGACCTGGAGTAGTTAAAAGGAGTTACTTCCCGCAACAGTACTTTGAGGAAACCAGGCATGACATTTTTGAAGTGCATTAGGAAAAACACTGCATCTAACAAAATACAGGAGTCTAAGGTGAGTGTACGTTTTGTAGTTAGAGTAAGTAGTTAGTTACTGAGCTCACGCTGCATTAGAGTATAAACAGAACACAAACAAACATAAATCAACTTACGGATGAGTCAACACCGCGCCAGAGGTTCAGACAGAACACAAACATACATAAAAAACATAAAGTAACTTACGGGTGAGCGAACACCGCGCCAGAGGTTCAGACAGAACACAAACATACATAAAAAACATAAATATATATATATATATATATATAACAAAATATCCTATATATATATATATATATATATATATATATATATATATATATATATATATATATAACAAAATATCCTAGATCCGGCTAATAATCCCTGGTATAATTACTCTTTAGTCGGGGCCGAGGATTGTAAAAAAAAAGGGGCCTCAGACCTGGTGGCCGGGGCCTGGGCCTCAGACCTGGTGACTGGTTACTCTCTATAGACTTATGATCAAACTTAACACAAAGCTAAACATATTATTAACAAAAAACTTACCTTCACTTTCATCACCATCTCCCTCTTCTTCCTCTTCTTCTTCACTAATTTCTGGATCTGGATGAAGTTCTTGACATTGAGTCACAGCATCATACATTTGTTGAACTAAAAATGTTATTTACTAACAATTATTAATAATAATTGTTACTTAATAACAAAAAATGTTATTTACTAACAATTATTACTAATAATTTTTATTTATTTTTCAAATATTTGATGTCTCTAAAGTTAAGAAATTTTTTACTTTTATTTGAATCCAATGGAACAAATCGAACTTCAGTAACAGAAGGCTCTGAATTTTCTTCATCAGTTTCTAGTACATCTTAAGAGAAAAAATAAATAAAATATACTTATTTATGAATAATGTTTTAAAAATCTATAATAAAGAGCAGCTAAAAAAGCATATTAAAAGTATTTTTCATTTTCATGGTACATTAAAGTATGCAACAAATTAATAAACTCTCCAAAACTCACTGGAAGAAATAAAAGACTTTAAATATGTCAAAGAAATCACTAAGCATGCGTACTGTGAAAACTTTTTATTTAATAGTCAATTTATGGAATAGCTTGCCTAGCAAGTTTATTAAAGCACAATCTCTTAACAGTTTTAAAGCAGGTCTTGATTGCTGGATGAGTAGCAATCAAAAAAATTAGCTGTCATAGTGTGTTAATACTACACTCAATGGCTCACAACAGTTACAGCAATTACTAATACTAATACTTGGAAAGAAGTTTTAGTTTAGTAAAAACTTGACAAGTGAGTTTTTATTTTTTTATTTTTAAGACCTAAACTGGTTTAAAAATTTTTTTTAAATAACTAAAAGCTTTTTTTTGTTATTAGATAGTTTCATAATAAGTAAAATTTAATAAACGGGGAGATGGGGGTCTTAATAAGCTCTGGTGAGTGGGAAAATTTTCTGAAAATTAATATACATCAACTTCGGTGTAAAAAATCTAAAACTTTTTTTTCCTTAGATTTTTTATAATTCCTGTTTTTTAAGTAACAAATTCAAGTAGATTTGATTTTTTTTTTTTTTCTGTTTAAATAAAGAAAGAACTTAATAGGGTAAGATTATTGAGAAGATCATTAATATATATGATAAAAAACAGAAGCGAAGATGATCCAACATTCATTATACAAGGCAGAAAACAATATAACAGGTTTATTCAATGCCAACCTATTGTTATAAAGGTGTGCAAGGCTGGCCAACAGAAATTTTCTGCTTAACCCTAAAGCTTTTGCCCAAGCAGTTTTCTACAAGACAGTAGCCAGATGCAAGACAGTAGCCCCTAATTAACTTTGGATTTTTTATATATTTGAGTTAACTCATAAATATAGGAAGATCTGAACTATTGTAATAATAATTGGCTGAAAAAATTGGGTTTTATTTGAATTAAATTTTTTTATAAACTTTCTACTCCAGCTTGAAGAAACTAAATACCAAAATACTTATATATATATATGCAATGCCCACCTAAATGCCGACCTGAAAATGTTTGAGGTCGGCAAAAAATTTTTTGCTGACCTCGTTTCTATGTTTTATGGTTAAACCTTTGTATCAGATAATTTTTGCCAACCTGAGACCGATCTCAAAAAGATTGAGGTCTGCAAATTATTGCCAACCTCATTTTTCCTAATTCTGAGGGTTGATATATACATATATACATATATATATATATATATATATATATATATATATATATATATATATATATTTATATTTATAAAGTTAAGTGACATTTTGTATATAAAGTAACAACTTACTATTAATGATTGTTTAATAAGGAAATAAATGTTGCTCAATTTATAAAAGAGTATACATAATTTTTATTTACATACTTATGTCTTATTTCCAGTGCTGGATTGAGGAGGTAAGGGGGAGGGGGAGAAGAAGGGCTGTAGCCTCGGGACTCACAATGTTAGGGGTCACGAAATAGTCAAGAGGAGGAGTATAACGAGTTTGTAAGAATGGCTGAAGCAAAAATAATTGAAGTTAGTAAACAAAATTCTAAGAACTTAAAAACTTTTCATTCTTGGTGGAAAGAATCAGTTATCGGGTACACTGAGGAAAATGGATTAGTGGTTAAAATTGCTTGAATTAACTTTGATAATTATTAATAATTTCATTAAAAACGCAGTTATTATTGAAAGTATTTTTGTGTACAAAATCAATCGCACAAATTGCTTTAAAAGATTACATTTGAATAAAATACACATACATAAAATTACATGCATAAAAAATACATACATAAAAATACATAACATACATAAAAAAAACATACCTTATATAAAAAATAATAATATACTAATAAAATCTATAATATATTTACAAAACATTGACAGGGTAAAAAAGATAAATTTAAAACACTTATTTTTGTAAACAAATAATGTTAGTTTAAAACATTTACAGCTTTGTAGATGTAGCTCCAAGAATTAAAATAATAGTTCGTTTGATTGTATATTCTTGCATATTCTTTTTAATTTATGCTAGAAATCTCAACAAAAACTTAACAAAACTCAATTAATATAATTCTTTAAAATATTTTAACAGAATACACTAGAAATTTTGTTTAGTATTTTTTGAACCAATAGAATTAGTTGTTCGTTTGGCGAGTTTTTTGTGTTCGCAAATATTCTTTTTTTATCTTTCCACACAAAGATGTTTGAGAACATTCGAGTTTATGTATGTTTTCATGTATGTCCGTAAAACAAAATATTTTAAAATTTACGATAAAATAATGAACTTAATTAAGGAAATATTCATAAATTTAAATGTTTGTTTATATATATATATATATATATATATATATATATATATATATATATATATATATATATATATATATATATATATATATATATATATATATATATATATATATATATATATATATATATATATATATATATATATATATATATATATATATATATATATATATATATATATATATATATATAATATATATATATATATATATATGTATATATACAGGGCCGGCGCGAGTAGGTGTCATGTGGGGGGGTGCCATTACGACATTTGCCGACTGTCTAACCTATATCGAAAGGGTCGACATTTGCCAACTAACTAGTCTAAAGAGGTCGGATTTGCTGACTAAGAGTCCAGTTTGCCGACTAAAAATCATTGATAGGGGGGGGGGTGTGACCACCACCCCCCACACACCCCTATCGCGCCGGCCTTATATATATATATATATATATATATATATATACAGTATGGAAAAAAAAAGAAATTGAAGGCCAGCAGCCTATATGACCAGCCAACTCAAGGAATTGACAGTCAATTTTCTTTTTTCTTTGTTTAAATCTTAGTAACCTTGGCAACAAGTCGTTAAAGTAAAATAAATTTACTTTGTTCTTTCATAATATAATATTGCCTGGTTTTTATCTTTTACTTAAAATGTTGTTTTTTAAAATTTTTCAAACATTTAAATTACTAAATAAATAAATACTTTATCAACAATTTAATATTATTAATTTTAATACTTTTAAGTTTATAAAAATATATAAAAAATTAGTTTTTATTAAAAAATTATTCTAATAGTTAAAGTTTGCCAATAGAAACCAGTAACTTTTTCTCCCTCTTTTTTTTTTGCTTTAATGACCCTGAACTGATCTTTATGACTAAACTTTATAAATCCAAAAAAAGGTTAAGGCTTGAAGGGCTTGAAGAATAAAAAATTGTTTTAATAATAAAAAATATTAATATAATCAATGCTCTTTTTAAAAGCACAAACAGGCAATTTATAATTTTTAATCTATTTAAAAATAATTCATTTCCTTGCAATGACTATCCAAATGGTGGGAAAAGCCAAGCGAAAATTAATCGAAAAGATTAAATGTAAATAAAGTACAGTTGAGATTTTGTTCTTAATTACATACAATAATTTCGAATAATAAAATAAATCTCTGAAGTTAAAGAAGAAAAACTTTCGCACATTTTATATCTCTTGCTCATTAAAAACATTTTAAAAACCACTAATGATAATTAGTTAATAATAATGTTACTAACTCTTGTTTGCAACTTAAACTGTTTAAACTTAAAGTTTAATACTTTAAATACTTTTAAACATTTGTCTTCTTTGTATTAAATAATTTGTTAAATGAAACAAATTTTAAATTTTCAAATAATAAACAATTTGTTTAATAAAAAAAAAAAAAAGCCCTTGCACTCAAATAGCAATTTTTAATTTCTCTATGAACCATTTATTTATTTATTTGAAATTTGCTGCAAAACTTACAAGAAAATAAGTAAGACTTAGAGAAAAATGAAACAAATTAAGTGCAGATGAAAGAAAAACTGTTCTTAGTTAAAAACATAATTTATTTTACATTATTATATCATTAACAAAATAAAACATAAAACATAACATTTTATATAAAAATAGAATAAAAAATAGAATAAATAAAGTAAGAACTTTAATCATTTAAGAAAAAAGGATTTTTACTAACAAAAAATTTATGATTATAATGATTATAGTTTACGTTGTTACATATACATTATGCAAGTCTTGAGCAAAACATTCTTCAACAAAGAGAATTATTGAGTTCAGGGTTGTTAAAGCAGAAAAATTATTGGTTTCTATTAATATGCAATAATTATTAGTAGAGATGTGACGCGTTTTTTTGTTTCTTGTTTTTTTGGTTTTTTTGGTCGTTTTTTTGGAAAAAAAAACATAGGGGTCCGTTTTTTTAGTTTTTTTGGGAAATAATCAAAAATTCATTGTTTAAGTTATTAAATTTAACTTTAATGGCAATATCTTAATTCATATTTTAATTTCTGATTTAAATAGGACAATAAATACTGAAATTTACTGAATTAATTTTTGTTTTGGTATATTAACACAGTTAAAGGTTATCACGGTTGAAGCAGTCCTGTATAAAAACTTCTTTGATAATTTTATCTTCCTCAACTTTATCTTTACTGTTTTTAGTGTATATTGACACAATAAATATTTATTTACACTTATTATATTTAATAAAATTTAACAACTAATGAATGAGACTTAGCATAATAAAGAGTCCAGAATGAGTTTTTGTTAATGGAACTAGAGGTAATAACTATTTTGAGCATCCGCCATGATAGAATTTGTAGAAAAGAGAAAGAGATGCAACTTTACGACAATGGGAAAGCGGCTCAAGTTTAGCATATAGAGCTTGTTTAGAAGAAAAAGGGCATCATAAGAAGAACCATCCCAAATATGACAACAACATTCCATACAGGGACAAAAAGATATTTGTAGAGGTAGAGAATGGAATCAAGGGTAAGAAAACAACGATAATGATAAAGGGATGCTAAT